TATTTTCCCCCACCGGAATATATTCAGACCGATATTGGTTCGAATATTTATTTTTTCGTACCGACACGTGTCGGTCCGTATATGATCGGTCCGCATACCTCATTTTTCTAGTAGTGGTTGTTGCATAAATGATTTGAAATGCATAAGATAATGGCCTACCAGCATTTTAATTAACAAAATTGTTCATTAGATGGACCCAAGAAAACTTAGGTTTTCAACCTCAAGTTTATTCTCAAACTAAAATCTCATAACAAAAACTATTCTTGAAATCTAAAAAGAATAACTATATATACGAACAATAGCCAAGAATCCTAATTCAATTCTAATTTGAATTTCTAATAAACTATGAACTCCTAATAAGCTACTAATTCTAATCCCAATTAAAAATGACTTCCCTAAAATTAAAACTCAGATTTCAAATAAAACTTAAACTTAATGCAAAACAAATAGTCATAAAACTAATCATTAAAAAGAGCTCTATACTCTTGCATCACTTTGTTATTCCTTATTATAAAAAAATTGGAGATTCCTTTCATCCCTTATTTGTAATTTTTGTTTTTCAAAATATTACAGAGTAAATTTCAGTTTTTTTATCATTTTTCAGGACAAGTTTAGAATCTTTGGTTGGTGGTTAACTTTGGATTCCTAGCTTCCTACTATTAATTTCCAAATCTGTTGAGGATCATGTTAAAGACAATACTTGAGAGTAGCCTTTGGTTTTACTGAGAGAAGAAGAAGGTTAGTCCATACCTAATGCACTTATAATTTTGTTAACCTGTGCTGATTTGTTCCTAATTCAAATGTAGTTTAATTTTGTTGGTAATTGCTTCTTCTTTTTCTTTCTTTCTTTCTTTTCGATTACATTTCCTTTCTTTAATGCTATTGATCTGGTGTCTTTTGTTGGTTGGTCCTTTTGCTATGCAACCAAACAATGGTTGTATTTTGCTTGGTTGAATAATAATTTGAATTTAAGCCATGTATCTTTAATTAGCAACTATTACTATTTGACTGATTCTTGGATAGTTCCAACCCAAAATACAATTTTAGCTTAAGAATAGATTAAGGAGCAATTTATTAATGCTAGTCAACCTTGTTGGTTCTCTTGTCTTAAGTTTTCAACTCAATTAGGCAATGGTGTAACCTCCCCTTACTCTAAATTTTATACCACCAAAAAAAGAGAGACTATAGAAAATGTTTAGATTTTATCAAAATTTTGAGGTTATGTTGTTGCATTAGTTACATATCAAGTTTCACTTCACATATAAGGTTGTTAATCTAAAATCTTAGTTAAAGTTCAGACTTTACATATATAAATAAGCATGCAACATCCAGAGTTTTTCCTCCACAATTTTTTAAGTTTAATCTTTGAAATCTATTTTTTTTTTTATTTCTTTTGATTGAATTTTTAAAATTTTAGTTATCCCTTAATTTCTTTCTATTGAATTGTAGGTTCCGAATGCTAATAGTGGGCAAGGCTTTTCCCCAAATAATCGTTTCTCTTCACAATCAAGCCATCACCTTTTGTCTCACCAAAATGAAAGTAATGAAGAAAATGATGGGCAAAGGGATTAAAAGGCATGTTTGTGTCTCCTTGCTTGACAATTTAAAGACTAATGACTTTCTAGTTTGATAGATGCATTTTCTTTTGGACAATTTTACAACTTTCGATATGAGATACAAGCTATTTTTTCAAAATGCTGATATGGATGGTTCATGTAACTAGTAACATGCTTATGATATGCATTTTCTTATTGTTATTAATTCTCTTATGGGTGAATTACTGCAATTTCTATGCAGGAAATTATAGGAGGTTAGACTTGCTTTTATTATGTGTTGTAGAACTATAGTTGAATTCTTCACTCATTTATTAGTACTTTGAGTCTTGCAATTTTTGCATAACTGGTTTGTTTGTTAAAGGTTTAAACTTTTGATTACAATTTTTTTTATTGAGGTAAAAATCGTTTCAAACTTTCAAGTGATCTTAGGGTTGTACGTAGAGATTAAGAAAAACCAATAGAAACTATGATAAAATAAAAGGGATTAGTGAGCTTGAAATGACTAAAAGAAGCTCTAACTATTTAAAGCCAAAACACTAGATGTTGAGAATAGGCTACAAGAAGGGTTTCTTTTATCTTTGAAGTGTATCCGCAGAGATTAGGTGATTCTTTGGTCTATTTGAAGGGAATTAGGATTGGCTTTGTCTTCGGTGCAGCCATATGGATAAGGATTACCTGAGTTGAGTATAAAGTGAGGACAAGAACTTTTGTTTTTAGGTTTTAATCTGTTAATGAGCTAGTTCTTTTCCAAAACCATATTATATAGCTTTGCTTATGCAAGCTTTTATCTTTTGTTTGTTTTTCATGGATTTTGGTTTGTGCACGTTTGTTGCTTTGTGTTTCTTGTTTTTCCACTCCATTTTCAAAGAAATTGAGACTTTTTTTATTTTTTGGAGTCTGCTATTTGTGAATCTTTTATTTTTATATAT